ACGGACATCTGATGTGTGAGGTACTGCTCCATTTAATGGAGAAAGGCTTGAAAGAAATTTGGGTAGTTAAGATGCCATTAGAGGTCTGCAGAGCCCCCATCCCTGGGAATGGAGATAGCCATGAGAAGTGCTCATCTTCTCATTGTTCACCAGCCAAAAGGCAAAGGTTTCTGTGAAAAAGCACCAGCAGAAGGCAGGAGGAGACATTTAAATACAGCTTTGTGTCAATGCAGGCAGTGGGGAGAGGGCAGGCGGAGGTGGAGCTGCGAGGAGACAGCCTGGTGGGAGGGCTGCCACTGCCTTCCTCTGCCCTGCCTTTCTCTGTGGGTGATGTTCATGGCCACATTCCAAGTGACACAGTTATCGGAAACACAAAATCTTGATGGCAGCAGCCCTTGGTTTCTTGGCAGGCTGCAGCTGCTGGAGAGCTGCTGCTGGACCCATCCTGTGGCTCAGTCACTACTGTGTTTGGATGACAGTTTATCTTTCTGGTAGCTTTTGCTTCTGGGTTGGTTGGTATGGCTCCAACTTGCTTTTGCCTTTTTTCCTTTTAGGGAGGTGTAAAGCACTTTCTACACGTGTAAGGTCACATCTGATGAAGAATAAGCAAGCACCATTACACAGCACATCTATTTTTCTTGTTTAACATAAGTGTAAAACCGAGCCATGAACAGAACAAGAACATATCCTCCTGGACTGTGCAGGTAAAAGAGGTGCAAAAGCAGAAGTAGGATTAGAGGGCAAACCTTCTGCCAGCCGTCATAACCAGGAGCAAGGCCTGACTTCAGATTTAATACTCTTGTTATAAATAGCACTAGTCAAAGCTCTCAAGTAGAAATACAGGGAAATGAAGCTAAATGGGTAGTCATTGAACAGATTTTCTCTGCTGCCAAATATGAACCCAATGACAAACAGTATTTTCCTTAGAGGTGTGGGGGAAACCAGGCAGGGAGGTAAGGGGGTGCATTGGTGAGAGCAGCTTCTGCTGCTTATCACGGGCCCCTTCCTCTGCTCCTGCCTGGGCTCTCCCAGTACCAACACCTCTGCTTGATGCTTGATAGATGCTTGCTCCAGGACCCTCACGGAGTTCAGCTACATGGAAGCCTGAGCTGTCTCTTGCGTAAGAGAGGAAACGCTGCAGCAGCTTCTTCCTCTTCACACATTTACCAAATCTCTCTTGCCTCAAGCTCCCTGCTCCTTCATTTGCAGCCTCTCTCTCACACAGGAAGCCCTTGCTGGCAGGGACACTGAGACCAGGTTAGAGAGACAAGTCCATGGCTGAGATTTCTACTATGCATTCTTCTATTGGTTTATCATAGAATCATAGAATAGTTAGGGTTGGAAAGGACCTTAAGATCATCTAGTTCCAACCCCCTGCCATGGGCAGGGACACCTCACACTACACTAGATCACCCAAGGCTTCGTCCAACCTGGTATTGAACACCACCAGGGATGGAGCATTCACAACTCCCCTGGGCAACCCGTTCCAGTGCCTCACCACCCTAACAGGAAAGAATTTCCTCCTTATATCCAATCTAAACTTCCCCTGTTTAAGTTTTAACCCATTACCACTTGTCCTATCACTACTGTCCCGAATGAAGAGTCCCTCTCCAGCATACTTATAGCCCCCCTTCAGATACTGGAAGGCTGCTATGAGGTCTCCACGCAGCCTTCTCTTCTCCAGAATGAACAGCAACAACATCCTCAGCCTGTCTTCATACAGGAGGTGCTCCAGTCCCCTGATCATCCTTGTGGCCCTCCTCTGGACTTGTTCCAAAAGTTCCATGTCCTTTTTATGCTGAGGACACCAGAACTGCACACAATACTCCAGGTGAGGTCTCACAAGGGCAGAGTAGATGAGCAGGATCACCTCCTTCGACCTGCTGGTCACGCTCCTTTTGATGCACCCCAGGATACGGTTGGCTTTCTGGGCTGTGAGCGCACACTGAAGCCGGCTCATGTTCATTTTCTCATCAACCAGCACCCCCAAGTCCTTCTCCACAGGGCTGCTCTGAATCTCTTCTCTGCCCAACCTGTAGCTGTGCCTGGGATTGCTCTGACCCAGGTGTAGGACCTTGCACTTGGCATGGTTAAACTTCATAAGGTTGGCATCAGCCCACCTCACAAGCTTGTCGAGGTATTTTCTTCCTTGTAGCTGGTGCAGTGCTGTGTTTAGGCTTCAGTCTGACAACAGTGCTGATAACACACCGATGATTCAGTTGTTGCTCAGTAGCAATTGCTCTGATCAAAGGCTTTTCAGTCTCTCATGCTCTGCCAGTGAGGAGGGGCACAAGAAGCCAGGAGGAAGCAGAGACAGGACGCCCAACCCAAACTAGCCAAAGCGGTATTCCATACCATGTCATGCCCAGTATATAAACTGGGGGGAGTACCAGTTGCAACCTACTGTAGGGCGTGTCAGCAGGAGAGCACCACCACCTCTCCTCCATTCCTCACTTAGCCAGCCCCAGCTGAAGGAAATACCCTTCCTCTACTGCTTGCACCAGCAGGTTTGCATATAAAAAGCCTGCTCCTGACAGCAAAGGCCAGTTGTGGACAGAACCTCCCAGTTCATTCCTGCAAGCCAAGCTGCTGGAAACAACTTTTTGTTAGGATTAACCATGCCAGATTCAGACCTCTATTAAAGTATACCCCAAACCTCCCAGTGCCTCCTGATTTGGTGCTTCCCCAGCTCCCCATTCCCATCCCCTCAGACAGCATCTCTCAAGAATATGCATAAAATAACAACAGCAAGATACTCATTGTTAGCAAATTTGTCATTGATTATAACAAAACACTCTGCTAGCCCAGATCCCCTGGTGGGATTATGTATGCACAGAAGAGGCATGAGAAAGAGCTGACAGAGCAATTGTTTTTACAGTCGTCTCTCAGATGGCTGAGATGTTGGATGGTTTAGCAATTCACTCCACAGAATTCCTTACAATAAAGAAGAGGGACTGATGTCTCCCATAGAGATACAGAAAAGGACCCAGTGGTAGATGCAGGACTGGACCCATGCTCTCAGTAGTGCACTTGTGACCCCGCCTGGTGCAACATTGCATGACAGGAGTTATGTTTTTGTAGTCAGGTTCCTGGTAGAGAGAAGCTTCAGGGGCAAAGAGCCAGCTGAGTCCAGCTGAACCACAGCACGCTCAGGCTGTTTGTGGTTTGTTTAACTCACAGCCCCTTTTAATAAATCTCAGCTGTGCCCTTGCTGGTGGCAGATCTCCCGTGGCTACAGCACACACACAGGTGCAGCACCCAGTGATCCCATTGCTGAGAATGCTGTGGACATGGCCAGGTCTTTGGCTGGGACAGCTCCTCTCACAGCACTCGTTTCCACCCATCTGTCACAGCGTACACAGACTTCCTGTGGTAGGGAGCATTGCTGGGTAGTGGGATCAATCACACCCCTGTCTAGCAGGTTGTTAAGGCAGGAAGGTTTCCATTAAGTCAGCAAGGGTGTTAATTTATAGCATGTTTGCTACTTCTCTCCAAATACTCTTCCAGGTGAGAGCTCACTCCCTCATGCTCACTGTACACTAAGTGCAAAGATTAACAAGCATTTTGCTTAACTGCAGTGGTTGATGAGGTCCTTCACCCTCCCCACCCTCCACTGTGGGCTCCTGGCCTCTACTTCAGGTTGAGCTGCTGCTCAAACTGCATCAGAAGGTTTTCCTAGCTGAATTAAAACCTAAATAAAACATATCTATGTATATGTATTTTGGCCTAAGAGTGGCTATTTATGGGTATAACGTTGTGAATGAGCATTGTAAATACAAAGCCAAATTTTGCAAAAACTGCTGTTTGGACAAGTTCCAAGTGATTGTGTACCAAGAGCTAATCATTAGTAGAGTCTGAGTCTGCTTCCCCACTCACAAACACTACAGATTTTGTTAGCTTTTTGATATCAAAAATATCTTCTCAGAGTTGAGCAACTAAAGGTTTATTATTGGATTAAGGACAAGCTAACCAGCAATGGAATGAATAATAAATGTATAGAGCATTACTTTATTTTGTAGGGAAATGCAATTACTTACATCACATATGTTGTAGGAAAGTTCTATTAATTACATCTTAGAGGTGAGGTCACTAGTTTCTAACAAAATATTTTAGAGTACAAAATTGAAACACAACAAGCCATGCTGCATTTTCATATTTGCAGCAAGAATTATGTGAAATATCCAATTAAAAAGAATGTTTAATCATAACTTATTGGCTTGTACCACTTCAAGTGAGATAACTGTGGTTTGCTTTTCTCTTGTTAGCATGGTGCCTCTTCATTATTACAAAACTTTAAAGTGAAGATAATACCACTCAGGTCTCAGATACACCTGAGTGAATCTTGAACCACAAAGAGTCAAAGGACTCTGGAGCTGTACGATGCCACCAGCCACTCCTTTCCACTGCTTTGCATTTCATAGAGCTCCTTACATTACATACAATATAGTTTCATTGCGCTTGTTCCATCCAAGTGAAAAGCAATAGAGAATTAAGTCCACTTTTATGCATAAAGACATGTTTGATCTGCTGCTTTCTTCCAAGTTTGTTGTGCAAATGCAGACGTAGGTTATGGGTAATAAGCCTGCAATAGCAGCTGTTGCAAGCCTGTTGCAAGCCTGCACTCAGAAGGAGATAAATCAGCAAGAAATTAAAACAAAAACTAGACTACGTATAATAGTGATGTCTTTTTTGTATGACAGATAGAGATTAACAAGTGACAAGCTCTCTAAGTCCATTAATGATGCTCTTAGAGATGAGAAAAAAATATGCTCTTACATTTGCAATAACCAGAAGAAATCACCAAAACAAGAACAGAAAAACACCAGGTATTCCTAATAAATTCTTATTTCATGTGCCAAATTTCAGCCAAAGAAGGATTAGTTAGCAAAAGTTTGAAAGCCCGAGATTACTACAGCAAAGCTGGCACAATAGTAACTGCTGATGATTGCTAGTGGAAATCATTGCAACTTGTCTCTCTTTCTGTTACAGAGCCATCTCACATGGGTCTGGATAAATCGGCCATTTTTATCTAGATCAGGGTATCTCGTTTCCATTGACACCCTTCCCTCAGCAGTGGGACTTTAACAACAGGAGACAAGACCACAGCCTCCTCCCCTCCCTGGGTGTAGAATTGGCTGGTGTATTCTCAAAAATCACTGTCTGTGGTGGAACAGGCTACCCAAGGAAGTTATGAATGCTCCATCCCTGGCAGTGTTCAAGGCCAGGTTGGACAGAGCCTTGAGTGACATGGTTTAGCGTGAGGTGTCCCTGCCCATGGCAGGGGGCTTGGAACTGGATGATCTTTAAGGTCTCTTCCAACCCTAACCATCCTATGACTCTATGCTGTAACATCACTCACACAACTGGAGGGCTTCTTTGGTTTTGCTCTTTACAGACACATTAAGCTGAAAATATGTACTCTTGTAAAGAGTGAGAAACGGCAGCCATAACAGAAAAAGGAGTGTTGTGTCTTGAAAAAAAAACATTTGTGTCCTCTGCAGTGAAGAATAAGCAGCAGCAGGTTACTGTCAGCAAGTCCACTGTGCTGTTTCCTCTGTAGCAGAGTGGAGAGCACATCTTGCTAGCACATAGCTGGGAAAAGCCCAACCACTAAAGAGAACATCCCAGGATTACAACCCTTCCGGCTGTGCAGTGACTTGTGTTACACCAGGCAGAAATAAGAGAACCTGCAAGTGGAGAATTATGGTGATAATGCCTGTGTCGTGGTTTAAACCCAGTCAGGCAACTTGTTCACTCACTCCCCTCCTTCTTTCCCTCCCCCTACTCCCAGAGGGACGGAGAGGAGAATCGAAAAGAATGCAACTCCCACGGGTTGAGATAAGAACAGTTTAGTAACTAAGGTATAACACAAATCACTGCTGCTACCACCAATAATAACAATGATAAAGGAAATAACAAGGGAAGAGAATACAGTACCTCACCAGCAACCAACTGATAACTCGCTCCCCCCCCCAAGCCCGACCGATACCTCCTCCAACCCTGCAGTCTCCCAGCCCTTCCGGCTAACTCCCCGTTACCTCCTGGGCATGACGTGCTGTGGTATGGAATACCTCTTTGGTCAGTTTGGGTCAGGTGTCCTGTCTCTGCTTCCTCCTGGCTTCCCCTCCTCCCTGGCAGAGCATGAGGCTCACAAAGTCCTTGGCCAAACCAAAACATCGCTATCAGCTCTGTTCCCGAGCTGAAAGTCAAAACACTGCACTACACCATCTACCAAGGAGGAGAAAAATGACTGCTACTGCTGAACCCAGGACAGCCTGGCTGCTCTATAGGGCATGGCTGCGGCTGAATGTGGTTATGGGCAATCATGTTGGGCAACATCGTAAAAAACATGAGCAGGCTGCAGGTCTCCTCAGACTTGTGTCACTTACCTCAGGTGCTTGGTGAAGTGTTCAAGTCTGTGGTATGGACCAGTCTGAATGGAGGGAGGAAAAATCACACTGTACCCATAAGAAAAAAATCATTGGAAAAGGCCTTGAGATGTTCCCACATGAAAGAGAAGCAAAGATCTGGAGGCAGGAGCTGGAGTCAGTGGTTGGCACATACATTTTTTGGATTGCACAGACATATTGGAAGTTTTATATGCTGTTCAAAAAGGATGTGGCAATTTCTGAATGTCATTGAAGCCAGCTCTGGTTTCCAAATTAACTCCCTGTCTCCCCAGCCTTTTCATTAGAGACAGTCCCTTACAAATCCTTGAAAGCAAGAAGAGGTAGAACGTACTACGTTCTACTTTCCACGTGGGAAGCCTAACCAGCAGGTTAATCTTTAAATGACTTGAGCCTTTTTAGCATTGCTTCCAGTAGTGGAATTCCATATTATTACTACTGCAAGGCTTGACTGTGCCAGGGGTTCCACAGAGTTGGGATGTCTATGGGAGGGAGACGCTGAATGACTGAACTGTGCTGGTGGAAGAAAGTGGAGTTTTCAGACTGAATATGCTCATTCCTTCTGGAACAACACAACTGGAAGACCACTGGCTTATTATGAAGTCCCTTCCACCATAGACTGCGTTAAAGCTGGTTGGAAATGGGAAGTATTGTGGCCCTATTTATTCCCATTAAGCAAAAGGGAGCAATTCATGTACTTTATGGAATCAACTATCCAGAATAGGAGCCACCATCCAAAACTCAAGCACATGACACAAGTCTTCTGAGGGAGTTGAGCTGTGCCTGCAAATGCATTGCTAGGTGTTGCCTGCGTCCTGGGTTCAGCAGTAGCAGTCATTTTTCTCCTTCTTAATAGCTGGTGCAGTGATGTGTTTTGACTTTCAGGCTGGGAACAGCGCTGATAATGCCGATGTTTTTAGTTGCTGCTCAGTAACATTTAGTCTGACCAAGGGCTTTGTGAGGCTCATGCTCTGCCAGGGAGGAGGGGAAGCCGGGAGGAAGCAGAGACAGGACACCTGACCCAAACTAACCAAAGAGGTATTCCATACCAGAGCACGTCATGTCCTGTATATAAACTGGGGGCAGATACCCAGAAGGGCTAGATCGCTGCTTGGGTCGGGTCGGGCTAGGTATCGGTCGACAGGTGGTAAGCAGTTGTATTCTCTGCCTTTGTTATTTCCCTTATCATTATTATTATTGGTGGTAGCAGCAATGATTTGTGTTATACCTTAGTTACTGGACTGCTCTTATCTCAACCCGTGGGAGTTACATTCTTTCGATTCTCCTCCCCATCCCTCCAGGAGCAGGGGAGGAAGAGGGGGGAGTGAGAGGGAGACTGCATGGTTCTGAGTTACCGGCTGGGCTTAAACCACAACAGCCTGGTAGTATAAACTGCATGAACCTCTAGCTGGAACAGAGCTTGGAGCTGCGAGCAAAGTGTTTCCTCATGTTAAGTCAAGAAGGCAGTGCCTGTTCTTCGTAAATAAACAGTTAGGTTTTGAAACAATCCTGACTCTAAAGAATTAACTGAAACAATTCAAACTTTGGCTGACAACTAGGGTGAAAAAAAAAAAGTAATAAATCCTTTTTTTTCTGTTAACAAAACCCACAACTTTATTTTCTAAAGCCCTCAGAAAATAAAAATGACATCATGAGTAATTCTGAAAATTTCTAGATGTTTCTTCAGTTGCCTGGCAGGAGTGTCCCATCCTGTCCCTTCTTTCTCTCACAACATCTTTGCAGCAGGGACAGCTTCCCTCTGGACACCAAAGGTTTGGTACAACTCTGTTTGCCATGATTACAATGATTTGGTAAAGGAGAGTGCTGGTAGTTTCAGAAAGCATGTAGAAAGAGTATGGCTTTTCTGGATGGTGTAGGCTGCAGATGGCAAATGGGAAGGATGATGGGTCCAAGTGAAGAAATCTGTGGGATACCATGAGTCATTGGGGTGGGGAAAGCAAGAAAAGGGCAGAGGGTTATCAGCAGAGAAAAGCCAGAGCTGGGAGCTGCAAGAAGAGGTGATGAGGGAGGTCACAAACTATAATGGTAATGGAGTTCCTGGTAGTGAGTATGAGTGAGGAACTCAAGAAGGACCTTATGAGATGGAGTGACCAGTCCATACAGTCGCAAATTGAACAGAAAATGCATTTGGGTAGAAGCAGCTTCACATGTAAATTCTGGTTTCTGTGCTCACCGCTGTTACTCAGGAGGAAACCTTGTAGACACTTTCTTGAAAATATCATATCACTGCTCAGTAACAGCCAAAGAGCAAATAAATTACTGTGATTACTAGGAAAGGAAAAGCTAATAAAGTATCAAACATCACCGTGTCACTGTATAAATCCATCTTGTACCCACATCTTGAATACTCTGTGCAGTTCTAGGTTCTCAAGAGGAACAGAGGAGAGCTGAAAAAGGTTCAAAGAGTACAGGATCAGTAAAGGTGTGACAGAACTTCTGTACAAGGATCAGTGCAGGAGAGAGGGGCTTCTCAAGCTGGAAAAGAGATGGGGTACATGGAAATCTGTGAAATCATTAGTAACACAAAGAGAGTGGATAGGGATCAAGTGTTGATTGTGTCTCCAGGACAATGACAGGCCAGCTAATCAAGCTGATAGGAGTCAAGTTCAAAGGAAACACAAGGAAGAAGTTTGTTATGCAGCAGGCAGTGGATCTGCCAAGAATGTCCTTTCCAAAACATGCTGCGATTGCAAGGAGCTGACATGCTCTCCCAAGTATTTGGATGGGTCCATGCCACAGGCAAACCACAGCAGTTTTGGGAAATCCTCTGAGCTGAAGATAGCTGGAAGCTGTGGTAATAATGGAGAAATAATCAATATGTTAGTCTGTTCTTTATTTTTCTTAGGAGTCTGCTTACGGCCACTGCTGGAGGCAGAGTAGATGGATGGGTTAGATGGTCTAAAGCAGCACTGCTGTTCTTACCTGGAGTCAAAAATAGATAAGATAGGACTCAAGTAAAGACTGGAATCCCAAAGGGAGCAAAGGTGGCAGCAAGCAGCAAAGCAGGAGGTAAGTGAGGGTTTTGGGTGAAACTGGCACAGTTAAACCACAGTCCAAAGGTGTAGATAAAGACGCAGAAGAAAAAGCTGCTGTTTCAACTCCATCGATGCTCAGGCTGAGCCCAGACATGTCCTGCTGTAATCAGGAGCAAAGCTTCCACTGACTTCAGCAGCTCAAGCCCTAGAGACATAAAGGCAAGCAGGGAAGTGGGGAGTTTCAGGGTCCAAGAATATCTCCAAGATATCAGGAGACACAGCACAGGTGAGTCTGTGCAGGCAGAATTTGCAGTTTATCTGTGTTTCTTAACTATGTGCCAGAATGGTTTGAGTCCTGATCGGATCCGAGTAAATTTGGAATGTAAAGATATTCCTTTGCAGATCCTGTGTAATCCTAAATAATAACTACTCTGTAGGTATTGCCCCCAGCACAGTTACTTTTACAATCTTTTTTAATAGGCTCTTTGAAATGAGCAGAGTTGCCTCTACTTCACTCCAAATGTGACATAATCCAATAATGAGAAATCAGAGTTGTGGCCCTAAGGCAAGTGCAAAGCCCCCCAAAAGGCCCATAGTTTCAG